ACAGTTATGAAGTAGCAACAAAAATAATTTTATGCTTGGGGGTCACCACAACATGAGGAACTGTATTAAAGGGTCGTAGCATTAGGAAGGTTGAGAACCACTGGCCTAGCAGCATGTCTCCCTGACACATTTGTCCTGGAGCTACTGAACATCTGTAAACTGAACATCTGAAAACCCCAGCCAGTAACCGTTCTGGTTCCAAGCACCTTGTGGCTCAATAGAAAGGGTTTGTATTCTAATTTATACGAACACAGGAGCCTTAGGGAGGCCCTTTTCTTCCTGAGATAGCACCATTTCTTTATCATGGAAGAGACAGCGAAGTAACACCTGCCCGACTCACTTTGCAAAGAGTGATTCTGACATGAGCCACCACCCACCCTCCCCAGCGGAAAGCTACTGCTGGAGTTACTAAGTCTCTCCAAGTGTGGGGCTTATAATAATAACTAACATTTATTGAATATTTATTGTGTGCCAGGGCCTGCTCTAAGCATTTTATGGGTGCTGACTAACTAGCAATAGCTTTGTAAGGTATGTATTCGTATTTCTTCCAGTTTACAGATGAAGAGGCTGAGGCATGGAAAGGGGAAGTAATTTGCTCAGACACACAGCTAGAGAGTGACAGAGCCAGATGTCAGGTCCCTACATTCGGATACGTTTGATCAACTCCCTAGCTTAGCACTGAGCCACTGAATGGGCTTCGATTCGGTTTTCATTTACCAGTGGGTAAGCTTTTGGGCGCACCTGCAGACTGAGCTGCTGCCGCCGGAAGTCCACCGGGAACAGGGCGGGGCAGCGCGCCCAGCAAAGAGCTGCTCTGGGGTGTCGTTTCTCAGAAGCCCCTGCTTGTACCCACTCGAACCCGAAAGAGTCTTCCCAAACATCCCATGACATTGGTGTGTGTTTTTCTTCAATGTTCCTGGCTGAGAAAACTGACCTGGACACCACGGCCTTAAGGCGGCCAGAGCACATTCAAACCCAGAAAAGCCTGCCTTTTCCTGCCCTCCCTCTCCCGGGAGAGCCTCTGAGGTCCCAGGCCGCTCTGACACGGCTCCATCCTGGGTAAGGAGCCAGGCTCAGCTCTCATTTCTGGAAACTGAACAGAGATCATGTCTAGTTTCCTGAGAGCCCAACTCCCTCAGGAGGAATATTTAACCCTTGCCCAGCCTGAAAGCCCCGTAGACTTTCAGGAAAATTCAAAACACCCGCTGTGATAAGTGTTTGTTACATTTCCAAAACATCTGTCCAACATTTAAAAATTGAACTTTTTTTTTTTACAATGGAGCCTAAAAGCTGCTGAGCATAAAGAATAGAGGTGTGGTGTGTGTTGTTTTAAAGTACAGAAGACCCCTAACCAGTTTGGCTCAGTGGATAGAGCGTCGGCCTGCGGACTGAAGGGTCCCAGGTTCGATTCCGGTCAAGGGCATGTGCCTTGGTTGCAGGCACATACCCAGTGGGGTGTGTGCAGGAGGCAGTTGATCGATGTTTCTCTTTCATTGATGTTTCTGGATCTCTGTCCTTCTCCCTTCCTCTCTGTAAAAAATCAATAAAATATATATATATTATTTTTTAAAGTACAGAAGATACTGGAAATAGGTTTATTATCAAGGCTACATACACAACCAAGGTTACAACCAAAAATGAGACTTCCTTTCTGAAGAGGGTGTAGGTGACATAAAATCAGGAGGACACCTGATGAGAGAGAGCAGCACCAGAGCAAGGGCCCACGTACAACCCTTGTACAAGCCAACTGAAACCACACAGGAAGCAAAAGCCTGGCAACCCTCCCTGGGCGCAGAAGGATGGCCTGTCACCCATGGCTGTGCAGGGAGCAAGCGGGACTAGACTAAGGGAGGCCTCAGCCTGTTCCCGTTCCTGAGAGGAAGAGCAATGTGACAAGAAGCAAAGGAGGAGCTAGGAAGGTGCCATGATGTCTCCCAGTCCGAGGTGCACTGGCTGGAGGTAAAGGCGGCAGTGGAAGGACTGGCACCCACACCCAGTGTCCCATGGGGAGATGAGATCATCCGCCCCAGGTTCAGAGCATAGGAGAGCACCCCAAGAGAAACATGGAGGCCAGACCTTTCTCTGCCTTGGTTCTCACTAAAATGTAGGTTAAGGGTTTATGATGTTGGCCTGGCTTCCCCAAAAGGAAAAGGAGACTTTGCTAACCCACCAGAATGTAAGCCCCTAACACTCAAGTTGCTCTTGTTCACTGCGGCATCCTCAACACCAAGAACAGTGCTTGACACAGAGAAGATGATGGCTTTTTTTTGTGGACTCACTAAGAAACTGGCCAAAGAGAGAAGTACAGACAACTTTTCAGGCCCGGGAGGTCTGCTACAAAGGAGCTGCCCACCTGTGACATCAGCTCCCCATGTCGGGACAGCCCCAACTCCAGCTTCTGCCCTTCTCTTCTCAGATCTCCAGCGGCTACTGGGCTGGGTGACCAGCCACCCGGAGAGAGATGTTAACAGCACCAGGTAAATGCAGGAATCCCTTTGCAAGGAACTGATAGTAGTCAGTTTAGATGTGTTTTTATCCCAGGATTACTAACTCATGAGGAAGAAAACACAGGACTGTGAAACATCTGTGCCATACATGTGGAGATGATAGATGATAGATGATAGATAGATAGATAGATAGATAGATAGATAGATAGATAGATCAGTAAATAGAATTACATAGAATTCATATATATACTGTACACCAAGCATGTCAAACTCACGGCCGGCAGGCCGCATGCCTCGTTTAAACTCACAGGCCGCGAGTTTGACATGCTTGCTGTACACACATGTATGTCTATATCTGTGTGCATACATATTACAAGAAATGTGCGGTGCTACCTTCTTTTCAAATCCAGTTTGTAGTTTATTTCATTTCTGGGCTCCTTTCACCCAATCACATGGAAAAAATTGTATGAAAAAAATGAAAATTCCTGCTCTTTCTACAAAATATAGGATTTGCTTTATGAAATGGAAACATTAAGCATGTAAGGTCTCAGCCACAAGAGGTATGGGTATGGGCTGAATTGGGTCTCCTAAAATGATGTTGAAGTCCGAACCCCCAGTACCTGCGTATGTGACCTGATTTACAGAGGTGACCAAGATAAAATTAGGCCACTAGAGTGGTTCCTAATCCAAAATCACTGGATTTTAAACCACCCAGTGTGTGTACTTGGCTACAACAGCTCTAGAAAACTGACACAGGTGCACACGGCTGAGCGGAAAAGCAATGTCATCAGAACTCGATTTTTTTCAGTTCCTCCAAGCTCTGCTTTCCTCTGTCTGGGTCCCACTCCCAGGCAGGCTGTCCCTCATGGTGACCCCAGAATTGGCAGACTTACAAACTTTCAGTTTCAAGGCTCCTGGGGGAGAGAGTCTTTTCTCAGGAATTCCAAAAAATACCTGGATTCAAGTCTTAGTGACTTGGATCTTGGGGTAGGGTTAGCCTCCACCCAGCCCCTAGAGTCTGAGAGTGAGATAAGGATTTTTTTCTCCATGGAAGAAACAGGGTTCTAATCCCCCAAAATGGGGAAATGAATGCTGAATGGTAGGCAGGCAAAACATCAGAAGGTGTCTAGACTGCATTTTAGTATTCAGTCAACAAGTATTTATTGAGTGCAAAGCATGATTCTAGGTACTTGAGATACATCAGTGAGCAAAATGGGCAGAGATTCATACATTCCTGGAGCTAACACTCCAGGTGGGAAGAGTAAGTCACTGAAAGCCAAAGAAATCACTGTGGCAAATTCATTGCCTGATATCTTATGGGCTCTGGCTACTTGTTGGATGAATAAATAAATAGAAATGAGAGCAAGTAGATTTGCCAACTGAGTTCCAACTACATCTGAAAGCTCATGGAGATGAAATTGTAGGATTCCAAAATGCTATGTAAAATGAGATTTCAGAAGAGAAAGAGGTGGGTGAATCTCTGAACCCCAGAAGGTGATAATAAATAACTTCACCCATACTGTAGACCCTAATGCCTGGTGATGTGACATTCTGTGACAGACACACAGAAAACTGATAAAAAATGGGCATGCAAAAGCCCATTACAATGGTCCTTTTATGGTTCTGAAACTGGATGTCTCTTAAATACTGTTTTTCTGTCCCTTCAGGGAACTCCTCACCAGGATACACTAGTGTGAAAAGAACTGTGATTATTCTAAGGGGAAAAAAGAAGAGCATGAAGTCACCCTATTTTGCAATCAGAATTCTTCAACAGCCAAATGCGCTTAAATCCAAATGCTCCCTCCCTAGATGAGATCACAAATGGAGTGAGGACTTGCGGCTGAGTTGGTGAGCTTACAGAAAAGAAAAAAAACAACTTCCACTCATGCAACTACCTCTTTCCATTTGCTCTAAACCAAGGGCAAAGATGCTGGCCACTGGTGAAGGCTTTTATGATTGATATTCACCACCTTCAAAGTCATCAGTGATGTTTTTGCTTGTTTATTTATTCGCTCATCAACAAATATTTTTTGAGCATTGTGTCCAAGCGTGAGAAGCAATGGTCAGCAAAACACACTGAATTCCACCCTCATGGAGCTATGACCTATCCTCGCTTAGAGTTTGTACAGCCTACAGAGTGGTATCAATCAATCCCAAATAAACATACAGTTCAGGTAGCATGGAGCATGAGTTGGAGATTGGACCTAATTGGGGGGGGGGGCGGTTGGGGGTCAGAGAAGACTTCAGATATGTGATAATTGCAGAGAAGTGATAATTCAACTGAAATTTAAAGGATCGAGTAGAAGGCATCCAGTGAAGAGACAGGAGAAGGAACCATTCCAGGACAAGGAACAGAATGTACAAAGGTTAGTAGTAACAAAGAATGTCCCTCAGATACACACGGGCATGTGCAGGGATGAGCCGAGGAAAGCTGGCAAGGACACACAGTGAGGAGAAGCCACGTGAAGAAATGTTCTCTTCATCCTGGGAGCCTACGGTTTTAAGCAGGGAGTGACCCACTCACACTTGTATTTTAATTCGTGGTAGACACAAAATGGGAAAGAATGAAAGGGTCACGATGGAAGGTGTGGAGCACTGAGGAGGCTATCCTGGTAGTGCTTGTGAGGGCTGATGAACTGGGTGTTGGAGGAGGAGGAAGAATAAAGGATGAATTCAGAGTTGTTAAGGAGGTCAAAGTGGCGATCATTCTCATTCATTAGATGCAGAATTGAGAGTGAGAAGGTATCGAGGTCAACTGGATTTCTGGCTTGTATAATTGGATGCTGGCTGGAACCATTGATGGGGCAAACTGAAAGGTGAGCTGGCTTTAAGTGAGTTGGTGAGTTTTTGTTGTTGTTTTAATTAATATACTATTTTTGCAGCAGTTTTAGTTTTTAGGAAAACTGGGAAGAAAGTACAGTGTCTCCACATGCCCTCTCCCTCAGCTTCCTATTGTTAACACCTTGCACTCGTGTGGTGCTTTTGTCACAACTGAGGAATCAGTATTAAAACATTATCATTAACTGAGGTCCATAGTTTACATTGGAATTCACTCTTTGTGTTGTATAGTTCTATGGGTTTTGACAAATGAGTATTGTCATGGATCCATCATTGCAGAACCATACAGATAGCTTTGCTGTCCTAAGCCCCCTGTGCTTCATCTATTCATCCCCTCTCTCCACCGAAACTCCTGGCAACCACTGATCTGATTGCTGCTTCCCTAGTTTTCGCTTTTGCAGAATGTCATAGAGCTGGAAGCATATAGTCTGTAGCCTTTCCACTGAGCAATATGCACTTAACATTCCTCCATGTCTTTTTGTGGCTTGATAGCTTACTTGTTTTTATTAAATGAATAATATTCCATTGCTTAGATATACCCCATTCACCTACTGAAGGATATATTGGCTGCTTCCAATTTTTAGCAATCTATAATAATAAAAGCGTAATATGCTAATTAGACCAGACGACCTTCAGGGCGACATTCTGGACTAAGCCGCGGTGCCGTGAGGGCTGAGGAAGAGGCATCAGGCCTCTAGTTATGAATAAACCTTCTGTGAACATTTAATATGAAGGATTTTGTGTGACATAAGTTTCAACCTCATTTGGATAAATACCAAGGAGAACAAATCATATGGTAAGAGAGTGATTTGTAGTGTAAGAAACCATCAAGCTGCCTTCCAAAGTGGCTGCACCATTTTTCCTTCCACCAGCAACGAATGGGTGTTCCTATTTCTTCACATCCCCACCAGCATTTGCCATTGTTCCTGTTTTAGGTTTAACCTTTAAAATAGGTGTGTAATGGTATCTCGTTGTTGATTTAACTTCCTATTCCCTGGTGATATATGATGTTGAACATCTTTATATTGTCTTTGGTGAAGTGTCTGTTCAGATATTTTGGACAGTTTTTATTGGCTTGTTTGTTTTTTCTTGTTCATTTTAGGAGTTCTTTGTGTATTTTGGAGAGAACTCAGTTATCTGATAGTCTTTTGCAAATGTTCTCACCCAGTTTATGGTTTGTCTTTTCATTCTTTTAACAGAGTCTCTTGCAGAGAAGGATGGTGAGTTTGGTTTTGAACTTCTTTCCCATGAGCAACCTTTGTGGCATCAAGAGGGAAATGCCAAGCAGATGGCAGGAGGGAGTCCCAGGGACAGGAGGGAACATGTGAGTCCCAGGGACCCAAATGAGAGTGTGGCAGGAGCAGAGAGAACAGGACTTAGTCAGTCTATTCAGGGACCTTAAGTATGGGTGAGGAGTTTGCTCTCTATCTGATTGAAGAGTTGACTCCTGAAATTCTGGTGAGTAAGCCATTTTTGAAGCCAAGTCTTTCAATTCTGATAGAGTTAATATCGCAGCCAGATCCCTTGTCACAGGCAGTGAAGCATATGGCATTTCGGGGTTTAATCCAGTGCCTGGGGTTGAAAGTGTGTTTAATCAATATTTGTTGATTAAATGAATTAAATAACTAATATATTATGTGGTGGCATTTATATAAACATCCACATGATAAATTTATTGATTCATTCAAAATCTATTTCATGAGTTACTATTATGTGCCAGACACTGTACTATTTGCATGAACAAAACAGACTAAGACTACTGTCCCCTGGGGCTTATATTCTATTGGGAGGAAATAGTAAGTAAAATACAAACATAACAAGTAAATTATATTGGGCATTAAAGGGATTGTCAAGCCAAAACCAGTTTGGCTCAGTGGATAGAGCGTCGGCCTGCGGACTAAAGGGTCCCAGGTTCGATTCCGGTCAAGGGCATATACGATTCTTTGTTGCGGGCACATCCCCAGTAGGAGGTGTGCAGGAGGCAGCTGGTCGATGTTTCTCTCTCATCGATGTTTCTAACTCTCTATCCCTCTCCCTTCCTCTCTGTAAAAAATCAATAAAAATATATTTTTTTTTAAAAAAGGGATTGTCAAGTTCCAGGAGAAAAGAAAATGTAGAGCAAGGTAAGGGAGTGCCCAGATTGTGGTGTTAAATGGAAGGCCATAGCATGCTTCATGGTAAGTGACATTTAAACAAAGGTTTTAAGGAGGGGAGGGAATAGCCATATGGAGATCAGGGGAAAGCATTGCAGGGGAAGGAAACAGCTGGTGCAAAGGCCCTCAGGTAGGGAAGTTCCTATAAAGTTCAAGAAACAGCAAGGAGGTGGCTGGAGCAGAGAGAGAAAGGGGTAAGAGATAACAGGATCCCTCCTGAGGCCGCACCCCCCACCCTGTCACCAGGGCCAGGGGACCTGAGGCCAGATCCCATAAGACCCTCTAGGCCAGTGTGTGGACTTGGACCTTTTCTTCACTGAAGTGGGGAACTGTTGCCAGTGTTAAGTGGAGGGGTGACGGAATCTTGCTTGTATTTTAAAAGGATCCCTCTAGTCTAGTGATGGCGAACCTTTTGAACTCGGCGTGTCAGCATTTTGAAAAACCCTAACTTAACTCTGGTGCTGTGTCACATATAGAAATTTTCTGATATTTGCAACCATAGTAAAACAAAGATTTATATTTTTGATATTTATTTTATATATTTAAATGCCATTTAACAAAGAAAAATCAACCAAAATAATGAGTTCGCGTGTCTCCTCTGACAAGTGTGTCATAGGTTCGCCATCACTAGAATCTAGTCTGTTGAGAAGAATAGAAGCAAGAAGATATGTTAATGATGGCAGTAGTTCAAGCAAGAGATGATAGTGAGCTCATTTTAGATACCTCCAGAAGGCAGACTCCACAGGTTTTCCTGACAGAGTGGCTATTGGGGGAGCAAAAGATAGGCAGCAAAGGTGACTTCAAGGTTTTCGAGCTGAGTAACTGGAAAGATGGATAAACGTACAATCAATTGAAGTAGAAAAGGATGCAGGGAGAGCAGGTTTGGGGCAGGGGTTGGTTTCAAAGTTCAGAGAACCGAGTGTGAGAGGCCTCAAGAGCTAATGTGAAGAGATGTCAAGTGGGCAGCTGGCAGGATTCTGGCTGGAGATTTGAAGTTGGGAGTCTTAGTGCATAGAAGACATGTAAATCATGACTCTGAGCGAGGTCACCTCGTGAGTGGAGATGGAGAAGGGAACACAGAAGGGACCTGGGTTTTCTCACCCCCACTCCTTACCACTTCCCCCACTGCCCCCAACCCAAGCCCATCACCAACTGCACCTCAGCAGCCCCACCAGCTCCAGGTGCCATCCTGTGCACCTTCAGCCGTTCACACAGTGGCCTGAAAGGTCCGGTTAAAATTCAGTCCTGTCCCTCCTCTGCTCATCCCCGCTGTGGAAAACAGCTGGTGTCCATCAACGGACAAACGGATATGCAAAACACGGTGCATTCACAGAACGGAATATTATTCAGCAATAAAAATGACTGAAGTGTGGATATGTGCTTCAACATAGATGGCGCTCAAAATACATTAAGTAAAAGAAAGCCAATCTCAAAAATTCCCGTATTGTATGTTACATTTATATGATATGGTCAGAACAGACAAATCCATAGAGAAAGAACCTCGTTGATGGTTGCCAAGGGTTCGAGGGAGGGAAGAATGAGGAGTGATAGCTAACAGTTAAGGGCATGCAAACATTGCAAGGTGGTGACTCTGAATTTACTAAAAACCACTGAGTGGTCCAACTTAAATGGGTGAATTGTATGGACCATAAAATCTCTGTCCATGTGCCTATGTATAAACCCTGCTGTGGGTCCCCATCTCATGCAAGCTTGGTTGCTCAAGGCCCCCATCCAGCTCACGCTATCTGTCTGACCTCTAATCTGTATGCTGCTCAGCCTCCTCCTCCGCCCCCTGGCCTTGACCTCTCACTGTTCCTGATAGTCACACCTCAGACACATCCGTCTGCACCTGCTGCTTCTTCCTCCATGAATCTACATGTTTCACTACCTCACCTCCCAGTTCTTCATTCAAATGCCACCTTGTCACCTCGCCAACAAGGCTTCCCTGGCAGACCACACCTGCCTAAGTGGCACTGCACCCTTCACCATGTCCTTTCTGCCTTTTTCTCCATCCCCCTCCTCACCATGCAGCCCGCTATCTACTTACCCATTTTGTTTACTGCCTGTGTCGCATCTGAAAGGTAAGCTCCCATGCGGGTGGGAATTTGCATTGGTTTTGTTCACTGCTGAGTCCACAGGACTTAGACAGAGCTTGGCGGCCAGAAGGCAGTCAAACCACACATATGTCTGCAGTGAATACGTGGTCAGCTCTGTGCTGCCTTCGGAGCACCTCCAGAGTTATTTTCCTAAAGTAATTTTTCCTGCAAGTTTTCTACACTGAACATGTATTAGACTCATAGTCAGGGTTATATAAATGTTATATAAGGAACAATGATCCTGCCACTGCTCTCCGCAGCCCGCAAGATGAAATCCTAAACTCCTTTGCAGATTCTGGCTTTTTTAAAAGCCAAACTCCACGTCCCTCTCTCCCCTTGGCCAGAAAGAAAGTAGATGTTTTCTGAAACAGAAAGAGGGTTTGCTTTGCTTCAAAGACGTTGAACAGGGTGCCTTGTTTGTGTTGCTGAGAGCCCTGCACATCCTTCTATGTGAGCGGACTTGTCCAACGCCATGCAGCAGGCCACACTCCTGCTCCTGACACACTGGCCCAGGCACCCTTTTTTGGTGGCTGGTCTCCAAGCACCAGAGTCCCACCTGAGCCCTTGGCAGCCCAGAAACCTCGTGGCTCTCAAGATGACGCTGCTGGGACCCTCAAGCCTTCTCCGCCCACCAAGACGATGGGCTCCAGAACCCTGCGAACAGCGCCCTGCCTGTGCGCCTTCCTCCTTCTGCTCTAAATTGATGTCTCCCCTGTGTGGCTGCAGAACCATATGTATGATTAAAGCTTGCATGATAGTCGTTGCTTGAGTCCTAATCAATTATTTAAGTGCCTGCCTCCAAGCCAGACTGTAAAGCCCTGGGCACTTGGGCACTTGGGCACCTGGGCACCTGGGCACTGGACTCTGGGTCCAGGAAGCTAGTGGTGATAAAGTCCACATATGCCTCCTTCCAGCTCCCTTGTCAGTGTCTCTGGCAAATGAGGGAGAGTGTCCTGGATAGTATTTTTTTAAATATATTGATTTCAGAGAGAAAGAGAGAGGGAGACAGAGAGAGAAACATCAATGATGAGAGAGAATCCTGGATCGGCTGCCTCTTGCATGTCCTCCATCAGGGATGGAGCCCGTAATCCAGGCATGTACTCTGAGGGGGAATCAAATTGTTACCTTCTGGTTCATGGGTCAATGCTCAACCACTGAGCAACACCAGCAGGGCTATAAGTTAGTGTTTTTGTTTTCTTTAGAGAAACACCTGGAGTGGAATTGCTGGATCATATAGTAGTTCCTATTTTTAATTTTTTGAGGAACCTCCATGCTGCTTTCCATGATGTCTGCATCTATTTACATTCCCACCAACAGTGCACAGGGTTCCCTTTTCTCCACAGTATTTCTAACACTTGTTATCTTTGTTTTTTGAATAATAACCATTCTAACAGGTGTGAGGTGATAGCTCCTTCTGGCTCCGATTCGCATTTGTCTGATGATTTGATGTCGGGCATGTCTTGTGTACCAATTGACCATTCGCGGAAAATGTCTGTTTTTAAATCAGATGGTCTGGGCTCCGGAATTGACCTGGCCTGACTTGACTGTGTCAGATTGAGCCTGACATCTTCTACCAGCTCATTAGTTGGAAAGGGAGCTATTTAGAAAATAAAAATGGCCACTCTGTGGAAGGAGGGCTTATCTGCTGGGGAAAGTACTGGACTGGGAGTTGGAAACAATTCACTAATTTGAGTCTAACAACGTCACTAATATGATAAGGGGTTGGGGTCAATCACTTAACTTTTCTGAGACTATTTCCTCAATTCTAAAATGAAAAGATCTTAGAAATTCCTTGAAACTCTAAGACTAAAGATCAACTTAGAGGACCAGCCCTCAGGGTTATATTTGCAGAAAAATTTCTTTTAATACAGTCTAATGGCATATTGTGCTGCCTGATGCAGTACAGCTTCATGATCTCCGTGGCCACCAGCAAGAAATATCAACTGAGATTCTCATCCACCTGCCAGTCCCTTCCCAGGCGGTCTTGGAGCGGGTGTGCAGTCATCGTCTCTCTGGGTAGAACATTGAACACTCAGTTCAGAGAGAGCTGAGTGTTGCACACACCTACCCTACACCGCCTCCCTTTGGGAAAGCCATATCCAGAGACCACATTCACAGGCCAATGCAAAGCACTTGGTCCTCGTGTCCCATAAGCACCCTCTCTCCATCCAGGCCTCTTGACCTGATTTAATTTTGGAAAAATGATCACTATAGCAACGGCGTTGTTCCTCTTGCAGGCAAGAAAGTCAAGGAGAGAATGAGTCAACTCTTCCTCTGAGTACAGGGAGGAGGATAGGGAAGAGGAAGCAAACAGAAATCCTAGAGACAGTCATCAGAGCTTTTGTCATGGGGTTGGTCCTGGGACCCGCCCTGCAGAGCATGAGGGCCCATCGATCTGGCTGAGGGAGGAAATGGCCCTGAATGGATGACATCTCAGACAGGAGAAGGCACAGCTGTCTGTGCTGGCTGAGATAAGAGGATTCTCAGGAAATCTGAGTCACCTTGGGCCAACTCTTTTTGGAAGCATGGAGAACTCAAAGCAGCACAGCCCAGAGGCAATGCCAGCACTTCCTTACAGCCAGGGGACCCTGGGAGTCCAAATTTCCTTTCAGTGTCCTCTGCCCTGGGCAGTCACCACTCCTGGGAAGTTTCCAGGCACCCTCACTCATGTACTGTGAGTGTGTTGTTAACGGGTCTCAGTCTCTCTGCTCATCTTGCATTGGTTTCCTTTGGAATGTTCCAACACCCTGTATCACCCTGTGCCGGGAATCTGAACATTCCAGGGTGGTAGGCTTCGTGTGACTCAGCCTCCATGTGATTTCTCAGTGGAGGGCCCTGAGACCTGAATTCTGGCCCAGGTCTGCACACTACTGACAGTCAGGGTGAAAGCCCCTCTCTGAGCCTTCATTTCCTCATATGCCAATTGCGGGTGAGGGAAAAGGGGAACAATTTTGGTAAAACAGACTTTTAGAACTGCAGTGATATTAGGACCTTTATGCCTCCCGCAAATGATTTGCTACCTCTGGCTGATGCCTGCCATTCCATCATTAGATGGAAAAGAAATACTTTAAGTTGTTAACATGCATTTATCCTTAGTGTAAGTGAAAGATCTAAGTAGATTTCCAATAGAAGCAAAACTACTAGTAAATTACACAATGCCTCCAGGTCCCTTTGGGGGATGGAGGAAGCCCTGGTGAGGATTGGGAAGGAAAGAAACACAAATAGAAGATGCCACTTCTCACATTTTTTAGGATGTGACTTTCAGAGATTATGACATAAGAAATCAGTCTTAGAGCAAAAAAAAGGTCACTCAAAGTCAAATAATCCACCCTTGATTTTCTAAGTAGGGACACGATGACTTCAGCATTTTGTCAAGTTCCTAAAGCCAGGAGCAGTGCCTGGTATCTCATCTTCATAGCTCATGACTTTGGGAAAGCAACTCAACCTCTCGGGTCTCAGTTTCCTCAACTGTTAAATGGGATGACAGGAAGATTGTGAGGAATAAGTGAGACTATACCCTACTATGCTACTATACCTGGCAATTGTAAACATGCAACAAATGTTAGAATAATAATAATAATAATAATAATAATAATACCCAGGTTTGCCAACAAGTCTTTCCCCCAGAACCACAGCTAAACCATCCTTCTAGCAAACATTCTATACCTTTCTGTAAGATTTTTCAAAAATGGAGGTAATATAAAGTAGTTCTTAAATAAATCTAACCTAATTTTTCTGGTTGCCCAGACCTACTTACTGGTGGTAAAGATGGAAACCCATCAGCCATGATCCTGCCTCCTCTGGTGGGAGAGGGGGTTACTGTAGGGGTCATTCAAAGGAACATCAATGTGGAGCCTGCTGCAAATGGACCCTCAAACTCTCAAAGAGAAATGGCATGGAGGTGTGATCAGGTAGCAAAAGGGACTGAGGAAAACGGAGCTGAGTGTGTTCTCAGAGACCTTTCACAGGAGTAGACTACGCCCACCCAAGTCTGGGTCTCACTTAGAAGCTGGAAGAGGGAGAGCTGCTCACTGGGAAGGACACAGAGAGCAGGACATGGGGTCCAAAGCCTGTCCCTGGGTGGTTGCCAGGGACAATGCTTGGAGCCAGCTTCCACTGTTGAGTTGTCCTGGCCCTGAGAACACTAGTCTTTGTCAAAAGAATGCATTTGGAAGCTCCAACCCCACAGGGGTTGGGCATTGTGGACCTGTCTGTCTGCATTTCAACTCTGGGCTTCACCCTCTGGTGAAGGTGATTCTCCGGTCACACGGCAGCCAGAGCAGCAATGGCAACAACACACAGCCTCACCCTTTCATGCCAAGAGCTTTGTGTGATTTGGGCCAGAGCCCTGTGCTGGGGACAGTGACAAATACACAGGAATCAAAGCAGCTGCGCCTGCCCACAGGGAGCTGACTTGCCTGCAGAAGAACCCATAGTATCTGAAGCAACGAGAATGAAGTGCTGTCTTTCTTGAGCTCTGCCATTCTCATCTAAATACACATTACTGACAGTAGCTCAGCCTTCCTTCAAGTAGGCATTGAAAACTCAATACTCCTGGAGCCACGATAATAGGTTCCTGTCTCACTTCCAGCTGGGGAACTGCAGTCTTCCCTGGAAAGGAAAAGTGCACTTCCAGAACCAGAGGAGAGCTGACTTATATAGACAGAAGTCCCTGCCCCTGGTCTCTGATTGGTTTACCTTCATGCAAATGAGGACTTCAAATGTTCACAGTTTGAATGGTCCAAAAGGCACTGTCACACTTGGTCAGAATGGAGTCATTCTGATTGGTCAGTGGAGAAGCTGACGGGATATAGCCATGCAGCTTTGATTGAATAGAGAAAGTCTCAGTCCTATTGGTGGTAATAATATTCCAGGAACTCCTTTATAAGGGCTGTCTCAGATGATAGGAATACAGTTCAGATAGACAACCCCGTGCAGAGGCAGACAGCTCTGCACTGAAGTACAGTTTGTGTGAGAGGCCCCTGTATAGAAATGGCTGCTAGGCTCTGTTTTTTAAATTTGAGCCCAGTTAGCCATCGGGAACCCTTCTTAGTAGGTGTCTAAAGAGGAGTATGTTCCTAGTAGTTATTACAACCTAAATTTTAAAACCTAAGTCTGGGTACAAATTATACAGACTGCACTAGGTTATTCATCTTAGCTAACTTTCATTTGATAAGATATGGCTTATCTCAATTACTATTTCTCATTATTTGTAGGTTATTTCTTACAATGTTTAGGTTTCTGTTTTGTTATTGTTACAATTGACTCATGGTATAGTGCCATAACACAAATGAATCAAGGGTTCCAAAGCAATTCCCTGTGAAATAAAAGTAGTAATGAAATCAATGACATATACTCAGAAAAACATAATAGAAACAGAGTACATCTTAGAATAACAACAATAGTTACCTGTAAGCACAGCCTCAATGGGAATTTAGACTGATAATTTATAAATGCTGTGGCTCGTAAATCTGCAAATTCACTAATTTCTAATACAATGTCAAAAATAAAAACATGAATAGGAATTATGGCAACTTATATCTTAAAATTGAATTTCATTGGAATGATCCTTTCCTATACTTAATGGATTGTCAGTTAAGAGACTCTATTAAATCACTTGCAGGTAACTCCATTAATTTTTTGTACAAGTGCAGTCATGTTTTTCAAAAAAAACTAATTTTGTCACTAAAGGTGAAGAAGAGACCAAAACAGAGAGGCATCATTTTAAGTTATGCTTCAGTAGCAAAGCAGTTCACACTATTTC